TAAATCCGAAGTTTCCGCATTTATTTAACACAAAATTTACCTATGCTTCATTACACAATACGGGGAATAGAGTTGAAAGCGGGCAGTTTTTTCTGTCCAGTCCGGTTCAGCCAGCAATCGGCCAGATGAGTTTTACTGTCAAACCGATCAAAATCCAGCGAAAATAATCGATTATGAAAGTACCTGTTTATATAAAATGGTGGTGAAGAGGAATAAGCGTCGACTTTCGAGCCAGATGTCGATATAAATTAGCTATTCAGATCAAATCTGTTTTTTTCATCTTTATTTCAAAAAAGAAAACAACAGTAAGTTCATAATAAACCGAACACAAAAATATAAATATTTATTTTTCTTGATTTAGGCAGCTGCCTAAATAGAATAAGGAAATGAATTATTTGATCTAGATTGAACTGAACGACATACGAGAAAGAAATCGATAGAGGTATAAAGAAAACAATTAATCATTTATAGCCAAGTCGAAGACAAGATGTCTATTGAGTCTTTCACAACTGAACTAGGCAACATCTTCTTAATGTAATCCTCTTTGAGAACCATCAACACTGTTCACAATCGGCAATAGAGACACCAGAAGGAAGTAATGATCAGAACAATGATTTTTCAGTGGGTGCGAATGAGTAATAACTAATTGAATGATGAGTGTAAAGAAGGAGGAGGCTGTGCTTTTTTTTCTTTTTTCTTTTACCTTACCCTTCTCCAATTAAAACTGCAATCTCATTACGATCAAAAGTAACTGTCATTAAGATCAAAGCACTGCATATGCTCTTACCTGCACCAACATCACTGCCGCGTGTCTCTACGTCGTTCCATTTATCGTTATGATATGTTTTCTCGACATATTGTTTGTGTTTATATAGAAACTCCTAGTCGATATTTTCTATATCGATTGATTATAGACTGACCAATTTCGAGAAGTCTGACGAAAAATCCATATGTTCAACACCATGAATTAATTTTTCACACTTATCACATTGATCATTACGGGTATCAGCAAATTTGCATGCTACATCTGAACATGTACTAGCTACATAACAATCTGTAAAAAAACTTCAAATACATCAATATATAAAAAATTAGGAAAAAGTATGCAAGTAAATTCTATACCGTTGACATGTGTCATAATATAATTGTTCGATGTTATTATTAAAAATGAGATTTCGTTTATATAATTTTGAAAAATATCCTGAGCGATTCTAAAATAGATAGCCCAATGAATTATAAAGAACAGGTACTTTTCTTTCTAATATAAAAATCTTACTCAATTTGTTTTTGTGTTGAAATTCTTCCAAAAAACATTAAAGCCTAATTGAAACGATCTATTTTTTTTTTTATGTAAATCAAAATATTTATCGCAAGTTAAGTGTTGTAGCTTTTCAGCTGACAATACCTTAAATTTAATATTAACAATGAAAAAATGAATAAGAAATTGTTTAATTTTATCGAGCAAGAAAACATCAACACTTATTAAAGATCTAATAAAAGAATATCAAAATGAGGTGCATCGTTGACATAAGATGAAGCACTTGTGATCATAATATTTCGAAACATCAGGTTTTGGTGTTCTATAAACAAAAAAATAATAATCAAACTGCTACTGCACTTAGTGACGGATTAAAGTGTGAAACATGATGTAGCTGCTGATGCTAATCACAAGAAGATTGTTTTATTCAGTGTAATTTAAAAGGAATTTCTTCATCATTCTGTTACTTGATGCTCCAGAAATGCAATAAAGAAGTAATTAACTAGATGGTATTGGGACACAGTCTTTGATCGTATATTAACATGGCCTGTCATTGTCTCTGATAAAACAGAGAGAAGTGCAACTAAAAGAGTTCGTCATCAGGATTAGTAGGCTCGCAGATATTAACGTAACCACTTGAATGAAGATTTGTGAAAAAATCAAAATGTCCAAAACCAGATTTCTCGTATCTATTCGAAGGTTTTGAGAAAAATTCTTATTGTATAGAGCGCAATGAGACGTCTCCGATCTCTTCATGAACTTCCTTCATCGAATTGTCTTTCGGACTCTCCATAAATTGAAAACAGATCGATGAAGGAAGTACCTGGAGAGTTCGGTGACGTTCTATTTAGCTCTGTCAAAGAAAAATTTTTTCGAAGATCTTAATTTCAGCAGTTCCATTGAAGTCTTCGGATCTGCTACTGCTAATAGAGAATTGTTTTAGCTACACAAATGTTTTATATTTCAACAATAGATGAATCATTTCTTACATGTTTTTATTCGATTTTGATTTATTGAACGTCGATATTGCCTTTGATCATTGATCCAAATTTTTCTCAACTTCTTCTGGCGATCCATGAAAATCAATTTCTTCTATGGATGTCATTATCTGAAGAAAGGTTGTCTAGAAAACATATTTTATTTTTATGTCATTTTATATTGTGATTTCAAAATAATATGATGCAATATAAAATATGAGTCATTCATTTATCGTAAAATTGCATTATTTTCTTCTTTCTATTATCAGTTCTTATTTTAGATTACATCTAATCAATACACATAGGACAAAAAAAGATAACATACTACGATCCAAAACAGTATTCTACAAGATTATTCCGAAAACTTGGTTAATCATCGAAAAGAAACAAAAAATAATAATAACATGTCAAGTTTTCTGTTTTGAGTAAAACAAAGATACTGATTTCTTTATCAGTTAATACATTCATTGTAAAAGTATAGAAATCAAATGGAAAAAACTAAAAGTAATATTCAAGGAACTTACGTTCTTGAATGGATTGCATAAATAGCGAAGAATCCAAATGATGAACAGTTTTCATGAACAAATCCTAAAGAAAACAAATAGATGAATGAATTCGGAATTGAAAAAAATTTTATTAAATTCTTTTAGAAAATAGATCATATCAATCGTAATTGAGTGAACAAAAATTCAAATTGAAACAACGATATGCTTTTCGACTGAGACGATGTTCATTTGATGAGTAATAGAAAAGTTTAGAATAGTTTTGCTTTTCGGGCCTTCGTTGTTTTTCAACGGAAATCTGTAGTCCTACTCAGGTCACGTGAAAAATCGACTTTCGAAATCAAATTTTGCATGAACATGAGAATAATTCTTTTGGCAAATTATAAATTTTCTAGTTTTTTTTTCTATTCTGAGATATCGAATATACGAAATTTTCTATATTAACGAATCTCATTAAGAACTTTGTTTGTGCAAAGTTTGAAGTCGAAATTCTTTTTTCTAAATGATCTGAGAGGAACTATATATTTTTATGCTGAAATATTCAGTAAAATTTCGATATGTGGAGAACGAAGATTCGGAACAGCCATATGGCGTCAGTCAACTTTTCATATTCTCATCTGACGGTTGTTCTTCGATAGATGGGAAAAGTTCTTGATAATATTTTATTTAAAACTTGATCTCGTCTTTTTAATATCTAAACTAAAAAGTAAGAAAAATTTTGATGATGTGTTGAATAATATTCAATGATGAACTTTGTTGAGGAATAACATTGAACATCTAATTATATTCTACTTTTGCAGATTGCCACCGTTCAAAATGAGGAAAAAGCTTCACTTTTCTTCGAGAATATCAAAACATTTGGAGTTCTTTTCTCGAAGAATACTAAGATTTTTCTTGAGATAAGTACTGAGTACTTTCTTGTACCAAAACTATTATACTAAATTTGGCATACAAATGACATTGAAGAAAAACGAAAGATTACCACAGATACTTTATACTAATTTTTCTGATACAGGTATTTATTTCAGCATGACTTCTACTGTAAAGTGTTATAATAAAATATTCCTTTCTGTTTTGGATATTTATTAGGGAAAACAATAAATTTCGAAAATATGTGTTCATGAGTTATTTCTAATTCAAACTTTTCATAATATAAGTAGATGTTTGGAACAACTCCAGACTGAAATCAATACAAAAATTTCATTTGGTTCATTTTTTTCTTTTTCAACTCAAAACCTAACTTTATAGCATGAAGTTAGTTCTATAGAATTCCTTATGTAATTATATATTTACATAGCAGAAAAACATCATCAATTTAAACAAGTTATGAATGATGAAAATATTGATTTTATTTAGTACAAACATCAATTAATGCAAGTTTAACTCACCACTACATAAAGGAATAATTAGTGTCAAAGCTTCTGTATCCTACGTTATCTTGATAACTTTAGAGATGATTATTGAATTGTTCATCTATGAAATTTGTATTTGAGCTTCAATACAGTTAGTTTTTGAATTACTTTAAAAGTAATTCAGTAGAAGTCACTTTTATTTTCCTTGTAGCTACGCTTATTAAACCTAACAATAATTCTTATTTAGTTTATTTTTTCTCATGATTTAATATATCACTATAGTCAAAACAACGAAAAAAAAACACCAATCAGAATATTCAGTCACTGAACTATTTCATAAGTTTTGATAAAACAAACTTAAAATATTAATTATTCAAAATGTAATCAATATCAATAGATAGACAACAAGAAAGAATAAATAATGTGTTTGAAACTTTTGACTTGATAGTAAATGAGATATCACGACGAGTTTCACTAGTAGATCAGAACTTTATGAGCATACGCATTTTCGATTCGTTTCAGTTGTTAAATGAGTCAAAATTTTCTGAATATTTTTAGTTTAATTATGAAAAATTCTCATTTGAAATACTTACTTGTCTTTTGATCATACATTCATTTGTTTACTTGAATCGAAACTATTCGACCATTCCTATTCTAATAAATGAATTGAACAATTAATTTTTTTTTTGTTAAATGTTTGTTAAATTCTAAATTAAAAAAAGTTCCACTTACTCGTTTCTTTGCTTTATGAAGACCACTAAAATTTAAACATATAATAAGTGAAGACTAAAATAAAAATTGAATATTACAGATTTTTTAAGTTACTTTATCAATTAAATAAATTCATCGGTTTTATTATTTTCATGATGTTGAAATCAATGATAACGATGAAGATACATGTATGACCATCAATTGAACAAAGTATTCCAAATTGTTCAGTTTCTTTAATTAGAAAATTTTTTATTTAAATAAAAAATAGAGATTGTGTCAATGCAACTCATTGAAGATTATAATGTAAAATTTACATGTATTCTTTAGTCTCATTATACTCATACAACATACTTGAAATGAAAAATTTCTACCAGACTATGAGGGGTCAAGAGAAATCGAATTTTAGTCAATTTTGCTTTTAAAGCTACTATGATTTTTATATGTTTTCATTTTTGAATCTCTTAACTTCTTTTGGATGAGTTTTCTTCGCGATTCTTGAAAAGGATGTGGGTACTGGTATAGAGAAAACTATTCCAGAATTGAATCTTATCATATCTAAAAACGTCTTCAGTATTTTTTTTTATTTATACGCTTAAAGTCGTAGAATATTTAACTATAACTTTCAGTTGCAGTTGGAACTACCGGTTTTTCTCATAGTTGCTACTATTAAAGTGAAAGTCTATAATGACCACATTCATAAATGATCACCAACAAGATGCCTTGAGAAAATATGAAATAAATTCTAATGAGAATATTATGAACACAAATCTGACAAACTTCCAAATTTTCGTCTCACATATCTTTAAAACTTACATTCACTCTATTTTTCTTCAAAAAAGGATGTGAGTTCCACAAAAAAAAACCAAAACCAAAAACAATCAATAATAGTATCATCAATTGTTAATAATAATGGATTAATATCCAATAAACTTTGAATATCCCTTAATTGAATAAGTATAATATGTTTTTATACCGAATGTTTTCCACATATGTTCAAGACAATCGAAGAAAAGAATAAAGGAATTAAATGTGTTCGTATTATTGTTAATTTCTGTGAAAGTTCAATAAATTAAAATTTTTCTATATAATCACGATATGCATCAAGGAATTCTGACTAAAATTTAACAATATACTTAATACTGTCGAAATCGTTTTCTTACTCGACAATTATCAATACGGTTAATCCACTGAATTAATTAATAATTGATAATTAATATATGCTGTTGATATAGATTTAAGTAAACGTTGAATAGGTCATATCATGATAATGCAACAAAATATTGTTTACCTAATTGAGTTTTATGTTTACGAATCTATTTGAAAATAGTTTTTATTTTGTTACATTATCTATTCAATGAAATAAAATTACCTTATGATAAGTATAACAACGATTATTCATTTTTTTTAAATCTAATGTATGAATCACATCCATTGTTTTAGCATAAAGTTTTCTAAAATCTATTAGAAAAAAATAGTTCATTCGAAAATGAAGAACGGTGTCCGACAATTTAGTACGAGAAGAATTTCATTATAGTCTACGAAAACTGAAATACATCAAAAACATCAAATCTCGTTAGGCTCGATATATTTTTTTTCTAATGGTTTTATTCGACTGATAAACAACAAGTAGAAAAAAATTTATGCTTTCTTTTTCAAAACTATTGTTTGATTATTGAGAAGTGAGTTCATATTCAGACTTTGCTGTCGTATCGAACAATCAAACAATGTTTGTAGAAAAAGTATACATAGTTTTTTTCTTAAATATATGACCAGTAAAGCCTTAGAAAAAATATCGAACCTGTGAGATTAGATCATTTTAAAATATATATATATATTTATTTTTTTTGCAAATATAGTTTTTGTGACAATAACATTGGTCGAGTCTATTAACAACAGAATATTTTCACAAGTAACTCAACAGACGCTATAATTTTTTTTTAACTAGTAAAATATATTTCATTGAATAATTATCTTACTTGAATAATATTTAATAACATTGTAAAATTAATATTAATTTTCATTCGATTTCTCTTATATTCCATTCCAATTAAATACTAGTTATATATGTTAATATTTTGTTCCTTATAACAATATTGTCATCAAATACATACTCATTTTTATTAATATTAAAATGTTTCCGAATTCGGTATAGTATTAATCATATGTTGACGGTGAAAATAATAATAATGAAGAAATCTGACGATGTTGTTGTTTAATTATTAGTTAAATTAATTGTACACATGGATTTATCAACATTATTCATTAAACATAAAATTCTCCAAATCACTAAAAACATTATTATATATACATTTTTTAATCTTTTTTCTTTATTGATTTATACCTACTTGCACATGAATAACAAATTGTTGATCTTGATGTGTATAGAATAGATATGTCGATATAAATAAATTTTTATTCAAAAGAAGAATATATCTTGTTTCATTCTTTTCTGTTGTAATAAATCCACCTAACAAAGAAAGATTTTTTCAAACTTCTGTAATGGATTATTTTGATCTAAAATTTTGTTGATATTTAGATATGTTCATCCAAAAAGAATATTATTGTAAAAATTTAAGTGTTTAAAAACTTCCATTGTGTTGTTTTTTTCGACAGTCTATGGAATTGTATCAACTTTTTTAACACTAAGTATGTTCTACTTAAGTAATAGTTCGTCTGATGTAATATATTTTGTATTTTATCATAACAAATAAAATAATTATACATAAATATTGTTATTGATTATCATTAATAAAAATAAACAAAACAATTTCATTTTCATTCCAAATGAGATACAATCTAAAAAAATTCATAAATAAATCATTATGTGTGTTAATGTTAACAAGAGAGAAAGGAAAGAAAAAAGAAATATATGTGAAGAGAGGAATTTTCTTTTCTGTTTTTTTGTCTTTCTCTCGTCCATAAATCATTGTTCATGTTGTTCTCATTGACGATCAACGATCAACATGTACAATTAAATATGTATATCATTTTCAACGAGAGAAAAAAATGATTTTTCAAGGTATATATGCGAATGATTTTCTATGTAAAATTATTCAAATTTTTGAATCAAATAATAATAATTTTTCTTTTTCTGTTTTAGATTGCCCTCAATGATACAAAATTACTCAAATCAAGATCAACCCATACAATAAAAAAAAATGTAGGTATTAGTTTTACTTTTTTTTTTATTTTTTTTTATTTTACGATCATAAGGATGGTAGGGTAAGGCCTCCTTTGATCTTTTTATTATTTTCTTTTTTATTTTAGGGAATAAACAATGAAGAAAAAGATAACATTAGGGTAAGTCATCTGATTCTATTCCATTAAATAACATTGATTAAATTTTTTTTTCTATTCCTTTCAGCTATCAATATCATCGCGTCATCAACATCAGACACGGTAAGTAATTTTTTTTTTTTTTGAGATGAGAATAGGTAGTGAGATTGAGAGGTTAGGGTGAGACTAAGAAAAGTGAGTGTTAGTGAGAGACGAGGGTGAGTTCTGTTCGCTGAGGGTTAGGGTTTCGTCTCTTATGAAGGACTTCCGGGTAGTCCCTAAAAGCTCGGCCAGGAATCGTCTTGGTGTCCGTGGCACACGACCAGGCTTATTCAGACTCATTGACATATCTCTCGTCGGGAGGATATGAATGATATGAGTCTGTCCTGTGCGTGCATGAACGTTACGCTCGCCACGGCTCCACCAGGATGGTTCCTGGTCGCGCGCGCGCGAATAGAATAGACATTCATTTCATCAATTCAATGCGATTTATTTGAAACGAAAGGGACGCAAAAAAAAATTTATCACGACGAGTCTATTCGATTGAAAAGCGTTCAACACTATTATTCATGGAATCGACGACATAGAGATTGCCTTTTTGATCGAAGGACAAACCAACGGGATAGTTGAACTGATTTGCTCCTTCTCCGGAACCATTTCCACCCACAATAACAGTGCCCTGTTTCGCTCCTTTAGGCCAACGCATTACTCGATGATTATTCGAGTCTGCCACATAGATGGTACCCAATGTATCGACGAACAGCCCTTGAGGATTCGACAATTGTGTCAGAGCATTCCCTTGACCTTGACCTCCAGCGACGACAATTCCTTCTTTTGCACCTTTATTCCATTTCATCACACGATGATTGTCCCAGTCTGACACGTAGACAGTCTGTTGTTGATCGACAAAGATGTGGGTCGGCCAGTTGAGTTGATTGAGACCAACACCGTTGCCATTGCCACCAGCCACAAGAGTTCCATTCTTGTCTCCTATTTGATATCGTCTTACTTCATCTTTCTTGTAGTCAGAGATGTAGAGATTTCTCTGATCATCCATGGCCAATCCTCGACAATCGATGTTGTCGATAAGGATTTCTCCTTGAGTTGTACCACGACGACGAGACCATCGTACGACTCGTCGATTGTCCCGGTCACAAATAATGAGACTATCCGTCTCTTTGTCGATCAACACATCGGTTGGATCATGCAATTGATCCAATCGATTTCCTTGGCCATTGCCACCAGCTACTACTTGTCCATTCGTATCACCCATCTTCCATTGGATGATACGATTATTGAAGCAGTCAGCGATGACTATCGTTTGATCATCATCAACGAAGACACCATAAGGCCAGGAGAGTTGGTTGGTAGCACTGCCTTTTCCATGGCCTCCAGCAACAGTCACCCCATTCTGTGACCATCGGGCATCGACTGGAATATTAGGAATTACTACAATGAACAAAAAAGAAAAGAAATCGTCGTTATCGAAGAGATCTCGTCTCTCGTGAGAGCAAGCGCTACAAATATCACATTCATCTTTGAGAATGCTCATTCCACAGATAAAAATTCAGAAGTCTTTTCCTAGTTTCTTATGAGAAAAAAAGGATTTGGTAACGATTCTTACATCTATGTTACTTCTAGTTTTTGCCAAAATCTTTTTGATCATAAAAATAACACCTGGAGATTGTTGTAAGTAGGTTCTCCAAGAAAGAGTAATATTAATTCCATGTAAGTTTTTGATAGAAAAACATAAGGATCTGAGGATTTTTTTTTCAGAATTGCAAGAATTCAGAATCTTTTTGGCAGAATGATCATTTATATGAACATCAGAGAAGATTCTATCTGTATCTTGTGAGAAGAATATCGAATCATTGAACAACAAAATATCAAACCTAATCCCTATGTTTTTTAGGAAACCTTAAGGATACATGATTTTCTGTATGATAAATGTAGATCTGCCGAAGAATCTCCTAAGTATTTGCATAGACTTTTGGTAAGTTATGTGAAGCTGTTCGAAGAACAACCGTGATGTACTCTGAGTAAGATCATGAGAAGGTTTGGATATAGGAGAAATTGAACAATGTTGAGAGAATTCCACGCGAATCTATTTAATCTGAAGGGACTTCTTCTTTTACAAATGCTGAAAAGATGGATGTCAATCCGAACGGAGTTCTCCAGTGACAAACATTGGGATCTATGGATTTTATGGGCTGTGAAAATCTAAAAATAATGAGTATCTTCTATGAGGATCATGCTATAATCCTTATGTAGTTCTTATTCTGAGAACCCTTCTGTAAGCTCGCATGTTATGAATATGTTCATGAGGATCTGAAGAGTAAGTGTTTTGTAATGGTTGATATCAGAGTGAAAATGGAGTAGGAACAGGACAGAATGGAGGTGCCTATCTTTAAATTTTATTAGAAAGTTTATAAAGCAATAAATTAATGTGCTACTATTTGATATCAATCGTAGATTTAATTATGTCCAAAAACTTATGTGTATTTAACTCTCGGATGCCCAAGCTAATTTTTGGAGATAATATGATAACATGTATTCATATTTCTATGATTTTGATTGATGGACTGGTATTCTTGCCAAATTAGATTGTTTTCCTCTTCAGTCTTGTAAAGTAATTATTAGAATTATAGTTTTCCTTTATTTAGAACAGTAAATACAAAAAATTCCCTGAACAAAATGCTCATCACAAACAGACCCTGGGAGGGTTTTCACTGAATTCTTCTGAACATAATGAATATCATAGGCACAAGGGTGGATATATATAATAGAAGTCTCAGAATAATAATAATTTTCTCGAAGATTCTGAACAAGAATATTGAAAATAGAGTAGATGCGATGCCATGCACAAAAAGAATGCAGGAGAGAAGGAATATGCATGAGATGTAAAGTAGACAGGGAAGAAAAAAGAGAAATGTACTAGAAGAGATCAAAAAGAGACAGTGAAAATAGATGCATTTTTTTAATGCTTTTGTCAGATTCAGAATAAAAGATGTCATTGGACATCTTATTAGATTCTGAGATTAAGAAATATATAAGAACAGAGTAAAGGATTCTGATCTGATTTTATCTGACTAAATAGGATTCATAAACAAAAGAAAGTTATAGCATTACATAATCCAAGTCTTGTCTACTCTTATTTGATTCTGTGTGATCTATCATGTTCTTTTACTTATTTGAGAATTGTTGATTCAATAGTTTCTATTATGGAGAAATGTACAAAATACACAAAATTGTCCTGCAGCAAGACAATGTTTTCTATTAATGGAATCGTAAAATCATATTTGACATCACAAATAAATGCTTTGTATAATAGATTAGTCGAAGTACAGATATATCTCGGAAATTTTCACATAATAGAGAATGTTTTTCTTCACAAAATATTTCGACAGAAAAAATATCGATGTTGAAGTTTTTCTAAGACGATCAGGAGATGAAAAATAAAATTTTTTTCTATGTATCCTCTACTATATACTGGAACATATATTTTTTGTATTCCTTATTTTGCTATATTGATAATATAGAAAATAATAAATGAATTAATTTTTTTCTACTATATGCCTGGGAATATTTTTCTATTTTTCTATATTAAAAATATAAAACAAAATATTTTTATATTTGTTATTTGTCTATACATATAATATAGAAAACGATATAATATTTGATTTACTCTAAACTATGT